TAAATTTTTTATCTGAAAGTCGTAGATGTTTCTACTGACAATTATTTTCCAAAAGGTGCACTATATAAAATATTTAACTAGACACAATTTATTTATTACTGGATGTGGTTAAAAACAAGAACCAATGGGATTTTCGATTATTCATTTCTAAACAGTTGGATGTAGAGCAGTACTGGCGGAATAGCCTATCAGTTATCCCACTCTGAGATTAAAGGTGACGTCTATCGACTTGAGTGTACGAATTAGGCCATGAGGAAGTTAAGCTTCTATTTGGATGTTGCACTTGCTGTGTATTGAACTAACTTAATTCACCGACCGTTTCCCAAGTGCAAGCATGCTAGAGCTGCACAAAACCACGGGGATATTGAATAAGGGAAGCATAATTGATTAAATGGCTGCATTCGAAGCATAGTTTTCAGTTTTATCATGGGACAACATTCGTCTATTCCAGGTTTATATTAGTTTCCCCCCCCCCCCATTTTATCTTAATTGTGCTATTGCCATCATGGCATAAGATATAGGATCCATGCACAACTCCTCAAAAAGTAGCGCATCACCCCATGTCAGAGAATAACTCGTGGAAATAGATATCACAGAACTATTTTTTTTAAACTCTCTTCAAGTGACATCTTAACCATGCTAGGAGCAGCACATTCCTGACCCCACCATACAAGAGAAGAATGCTCATTGCATGCCAGTAAAATCAATATTGAAAGTTCTCACAGCCGGAATTTACTAAATTAAGTGAAAAAATTAGTATCTCATATTTTACTCAGCAATTGGTAACCAGGATGAAACCATATACTTTGTATTCAAGTACTTTTAGAGCACAGTTCTAATGACAGGTGGCTGCCCAGATTCAAATCCTAGATCTCATTCGTGCCAGCTGTGAGCCTCTCCACTACCTTTATGGCTGGTTTATAGGATTTTAGCACACGCAGCACTGCCACCAGCTACGCAGAGCAGAAACAGATCTAGGTTTCTGGCAGATTTTAACTTTTTGTGAAAACACGTGAAATCAACTCTGTTGATGAGACTCTGAGAAGTCAAAGTCAGTCCAGAGTTTTCCTGTTGAAACAAATGCTGTTGAAATATATTGGTCCACATGGCACATAGGCTGATGGACAAAAACAAATTTTATTTTTGATGTGGATAGATGGATAGTAGTCTATTTATATTACATTATACTGCAGTTAGTAATTACATATGTAGTGTTCTTCATGGAGGCACACACTTGAACTTGGAGGCAACACATGGAGGGTTATTACTCAACGTTACAAGGGTTGACTAGACCCCAACAGGGCAACTACATAACAAGGTCGGTCAGTAACGTACTGCCGACCATCCCGTCTCGTATTCAACCGACGACCCAGAGCGAAGGCCGAAGAGCAAGTACCGAAGACCGTAGGACGCGCCGACTTCCCCCAGAGAGCCTCGATCGCTCTCAGGACCCCGGCTTCATGCCGCTGAGCGTGGCCTTGCCCCGCCCTCGGCCACGCCCCCTTCTGGATCTCTCCAGAAGCTTCTCGGCCCTCATCACGTGTCCCCCGAGCCCCCTTTCCGGGGGTCCCTCGCTACCCTGTCCCGGTCACGTGCCCTCTCGGGTTCACACAGAGTAGCACGTCCTCACTTGCTCTTTCTCCGACCCTCACCAGAACTATGCCCCCAATGGCCTGCTTCCAGGTCAACCCTATTGTGGTGGCAGAGAGAGAGAAACTCCCGACGTGCATTTCCATTCTCGTGACGGAAGTTGGCGCTGACGCCATTGTGACCCCTTTTATGCCACTACACATATACTAAGCCATCACAATATACAATACATATGTATGGAGCTCTACTCGCACAATCCCAGCTTTTTAAAATCATTGGTAGCGCCTCATCCACTCTGACGCAGCCTTTATCCCTTTGCGAGTTTCTCATATCTTGTGCCTTACAACTGCTGCAATTTCACAAACCTCTGGGGAGAAAATTAATTGTGGAAAGATATAATTGAACCTCATTCTCTTTCACGTTACTTACATACGGCGATTTGCACTGCCGAGACAATTCAACATTGTCTCCTTACCAAACAAATGAGATGTTGGTGCTAATGCTGTTTCTTAAGTATTTAAAAACTTCAAAAGCATCTGGATACTGGCAGCAAATTAAAACCCATGCCAACGCAGTGAATACACATTGCTTCTTTTGTTAAATTTGTCGTCCTTCCACCCCGCACCTCCGATTAGCACGGTTTTCTATATGCGGTGCAAAATAAGTTTAACATACAGTACATACGTAATGCTCTAGGCAATGGGCGAGCAGTTATGTCTTTAAACTATGTCCAGGTGACACTTTCTGCTTGAACTAGTGGTTTTAATAAAGAATTGAGTATTCTCTATTGTTGGTATTTCCATTAAATTCACACTCCTGATTATGTATTTCACTTTAGGGGTATCTATCTTTTCCAAAATGTATAACTTTTTTTAATGGACGAGCGATCTAACAGAGACATTCTAGACCAAAGCAATTTGATAATAAGAAAGGAGTGTATGAGTCAATGAATTACAATATGGTGCCAATTTCAAATGTGGTTTGTTGCGAACTTATTACCCAATATGCTTATTATTTGGGTGTTCTAATAATATAGGATGGCGAGGAGCAGTGGCACAGGTGTTGGCACACTGCTGCTAGAATTTGGAACCAATATACGAGTCCAAATCCTGGCCATGGCGAACATCAGCGGCGATTAATATCTGAACCGCTTCTGGGGCTTCTCCCCCCATTCACCAACCTACAATGAAAAGCGTGGTGAAGTATGGTCGAACATTACTTATGATTGACATGGTGTAGGGAGATGTTCATCCAACAGTGATTTGATAAAGGGCTGTGTACATACATACACATACACTAATAAGATAGGTTCTCAAAGTGGGAGGAACATCGGTCTCAATCCTGATCTACTCTTTGTTTTTTTCGGTAAAGTCACGTATAACTAAGAAATAATAAAATAACATAATAGCGTACGACGTTTCGGTTGCAACACAAGCAGCCATCATCAGGTGCAGAAGAGCTAAATTTACGAGAGAGAGGAAACACATAACCCCAGATGTATATACAGACACCCAAGTAGGGGGGAACTAACACAGATACAACAGGGGACACAGAGAGAGAAGCATACCAAACAAACAGGGTTTAGCAAAATTTGTAAACCATATAAAGCAACACAGACGGTCGGTCAAAACACAATTAACGCATAGTCTGGTTGATTACGCTAAGGCGACTTCACTGTGTGCATGTCTGTGCTAGTTGGCTCTACTTGGATGTCTATGTGTGTGTGCGCGGTCTGTATTTAAAATTCATACTTAACTTGCAATTTAGCAATCTTTGAAATAGCGTAATCAACCAGACTATGCGTTAATTGTGTTTTGACCGACCGTCTGTGTTGCTTTATATGGTTTCCAAATTTTGCTAAGCCCTGTTTGTTTGGTATGCTTCTCTCTCTGTGTCCCCTGTTGTATCTGTGTTAGTTCCCCCCTACTTGGATGTCTGTATATACATCTGGGGTTATGTGTTTCCTCTCTCTCGTAAATTTAGCTCTTCTGTACCTGATGATGGCTGCTTGTGTTGCAACCGAAACGTCGTACGCTATTATGTTATTTTATTATTTCTTATTTATACATGACTTTACCGAAAAAACCAAAGAGTAATTCCTGCAGTCACGAAAGCTTCGAATCAAGTCTCAATCCTGATCATTCTCAAGAATGTCTCTATCTGAGGTGGCCATGCGGCTTAGTAGTCAGAGTGCTGAGCTGGCACGACTTCGGTTCTGCATTTGAGTTCGGTTCTGCATTTGTATCTAGCTATCTGTGATTCAACCAGGTTTTAATGTGTATTTAGTTGATGATCTTAGCCCAGTAACCAATGACTGTACAGGAAAACTTCACATACCATTTGATTCTGCACTTGATTTGGCTACCCTCGACTTTATGGGCCATCTCAATCGAAGAGATCTTAGAAGTAGCACATTGATATTAACTTATGTGGGCTATTCTATTACATGAAGAATTACACTGCTCTGTGAGACATCCAACGAGATAGTTGTCTCATGAGATGATGCTGATAGCACAATCAGGATACAATTGGCAGAAAAAAACCCCGACAAAAAAACAATATCTAACCATATCCAGAGCTGTTTCAGATTTCTTCAACCCCTCCACCTCTGTCCACCCAACAGTATAGTGGCTTCACGGTGGCGAGATGTTAACTACCTCGCCTGGTATACAGGAGGTCGTGGGTTCGACCCCGACCCTGACGCCTGCTGCTGTATATTTGGAGTTTGCGTGTCTCTCTCTCATCATCATCACCACGGTGGCTAGGAGATGTTAACTACCTCGCCAGGTATACAGGAGGCCGTGGGTTCGATCCCGACCCTGACGCCCGCTGTATATTTGGAGTTTGCGTGTCTCTCTCTCTCATCATCATCATCACGGTGGCTAGGAGATGTTAACTACCTCGCCCGGTATACAGGAGGTCGTGGGTTCGACTCCGACCATGACGCCTGCTGCTGCTGTATATTTGGAGTTTGCGTGTCTCTCCCCGTGGTCGTGTGGATTTTTCTCCGGGTCCTCCAGTCTTTCCCTCCACATTTAGAAACATGCGTTAAAAGTATTTGGCTGCTTCTATCCATTTCCACACGATAAGCCACTTCATTGGGCTATCATTTGTGGCCAGGTCGCTCATAACAAATAGCTATATAACTCAGTGTGGGTCTTGCATGGTAAAATGACAATAATACAACAAATAGGAAAATGGTTACACCACAGTTAGTCGATTGGATTCTCGCATCTATTTCAAGCCATCTGGACAGCCTGGAAGACGAGAGGGGTTCTATATAGTTCCCCCCTTGTGGAGGCCTTTCCTCCAATAGTGGCACGAGCAAAAAATTCCATTAAAGGAGGCTAGCACATGCACACCAAATGGTTGCAAGTGACATGCAGTGAAATTTCATTTTCTGTATGCAGATGCACCGGGGAGAGTGGCTCGGGAGAAGCACACGTGGGAGTTCATGCGGATCTACCCGAGCATCTTCCGAAAGCTGATGCCTCCAGCTCCCAGGATTCCGAGGGGCACAGAACAGCAACGACAGTAAGGGTGGTGGGACTCGCTGAGTCGATGTCCCGCAGCTTGATAAACGATTATCCCCACTTCATCGGGTGACCTTTTAAGGGGGGTTAGCAGTTAAAAGCATTTTTACGCGGCATAATTCATTGATACTGATGGCCAAAGCAATTAAGTGTACATAGAGTAGACGCGCTCATAATATAAAATAATACATCAACAATAGTAATAATAACCATTGCAATAACGATAATAGCGTGAATTAAAACATATATAATTATGTCATAATGACCAGTACCATCATCGTGTTCACCACTATCATTAAATTATAACGGTTATAATTTGAAACAGGGAGCTTGTATCAGACAATGAGCCCCGATGAATTCCGGTGTGCATTTTTTTTTCTTTTGACCCAGACCAATGAAAGCAATCATATGAGTACAGCAGGAGCACTGGGAGCCCGAGGCCCTGTTTCGCGTCGCATGCTCACTGACACGCACGGACAAGCAATTCTGTGGGCGTGTGTGTGATCTTTGCGTACGGCAGCAGAATCGTTGATGTAATGAAAGCAGTCAGGCTGGAACAATTGAGATTCATTAATCTTTCAGGGAGTGAGCGACACTATTAGGACAAGTGCATAAACGGCACAACCCTGTAACCCATATATTCAGGATGACCTTAGGACGACACCAACATTTCCAGGCTTATAAATACAGTAGCGTGGTGTGTAATTATACCCTGGTTTGACTATTAAAATGCTCTCCTCGCCAACAGTAAGTCCCGGCCGCATTATATTGATTTAATTGTGCTTCCTGCTACTGGCAAAAAGCAATCCGATGTGTGCTTAAAACTATTGCCACACTGATCTGTACCCATCAAGGGCTTTTAAATGACGTGTGACCGCTAAAATCCATTTAAAAGAGCTTTGCGCTTGTCATGCTCCTTTATGATGACTGCGCAATGATGGAGATGTGTCATTTTAGTGCCTTGTGTGTGTGTGGACATACATATACGTGTATGTTCATGACAACCCCCCCCCCCATTCTTTGGATGTGGTCAGCGTGAGACCGTGTGGGACACCGTCAACGAGTGCATCCTGACTGGCCTCGACGAGGACTCCCGGGCTCTTTCCTCCTCCACGCTGCTGATGAAGCATCCGTCACCTGGTTCGACAAGACAAGCATACGCTAAGAATGATAAAAAAATAATAATTTGTTCAGTTCTTGACCAAGGAAAACACTGGTGATTTCTGAACCTATCCCGGGCCTCCTGTAATTCCATTCAGCTTTAAATTCGGACCTGGTGTGGTACGTGGTAAATATTAACAATGGGGAGACGCAAGTGGCTACGTGTGATGCTTGCCAAATCACCTTTTCATTATTTGCAGTATTAAAATAATTTGTATTCTTTATTTTCACATCTTACTTCCATGGAGGTCCTGGCAAGATGGCAGCAGCACCTGAGTTGCACTTGTAAATTACAGAAAATACAATGAGCAGACAGCGATTATTGATACACAAAAACAAATACTGCGTGTCATTTTAGACACGAGGTCTTCACGAAGAGCACTTGCTCCATTTGCAATGGTTGTGTGGATATATTTACCTTGACATAATGTATTTATAGGTATAAGCTAATTTATGAGTAATGCAGCTTATTAAAATTGAAAATGTAAGATAACTGCCTGTGTGCTATCTATTGCTCTTATGAACATGCTTCTGTATTTGATTACAGCAAAATGAGATAGGATAATGTACCTTGAGACAAGGGTCTCAAAGATGTCTCAAAATCACTTTTATGTTCTGTGCCCGTTTTCGAAAGATACGTCAATGACAGTGGACAACCATTCGGGTCTACCGATAGGCTCCATTTACAATACTCACACGAATAATTATAAGCACATTTTAGATGTATCTCACACTTTAAAAATACGTATTAAATTACTTGCAGGCCCTAATTTCTCATCCAAATATGTTTTGGGTCACTAGAAAGACTGGAGCAGGTGCGTGCCCAGTCGTCACAGCCATAGCGAGAAGTATGGCTGGAGGTGGTGTGACGGGTGTGGATAGTTTCTGGGTAGCTGACCAGGACTGACCCGGCTGAGATTAAGCCCCACATACATGAAAGTCAAATACAGATTTTACACATTACTAGCTTTCATTCTGTCTGTAATTCTATCAAAAGCATACCCATTTTTCTTTTATTTTAACGTGATTCCAAGAGCTGAAGGAACCCCTGAAGTACATTAACAAAATTTTCATATATTTTCAGAGCTATCATATAAATCACAGAAGTCCACCACAGTGAAAATTGTGCATGAGAGGTTTAAGCATAATAAGTGGATGTCTGATTAGGGCTGACTCAGATTGACACAGTTCCTGTCCGTTGAATCCTTTAAGGGCTATGTATGTGATATCCTTTTCCCATAGTCAGACAGAAAATCGTGCCTTGCATACATGGACTAATCGGGAGAAAATTAAATTTTTGTACTTCGAGAGATGTATGTAAGCAATGTTATTAGTTGATTTTGTATATCCTGTATATGTACGATTTCTTTTTTTTCAATCAAATTCTTGTCATGGATTTTTTTTTCATTCTCATAATAACCAATAATTCGGGGTTTTCCCACCTTGCATAATTATATATCTTTGAGTTGTTGCGAAATTTTATCTTTGGATATTTTTCTTTGAACTTATCGACGAAGAGGAATTGTAATTGTGTTCCAGTTCTATTTTGTATTTATATAAACAAAACATCTCATCAGGGTTAAAGTAATGATCTGATGACTGTAGTTTCCTGTGGTCGTCTCTCTTAACTACAAATATTTGGCATGACATTGACAACAGCACTTCTATGTTGCTGATAAATATAAAGAGCATGACATAGCACGAGTGTTGTGAAAACGCTCAAGCTGGAAGTGTTTTTTCGCAGGTTTTTTTAAACATAATAGTGTCTCTTTATTAATAAAAAAAAATTCTCCAATGATTTCTTGCACAGTTCCAGAAATTACCCAACAGCTTTAGCATCATTCAATGAGCAAAATTGTAAAAAAAAATGATATTCCATATATAAACTTAAAATGGGCGATAAAAAAGTCTCTTTATTAGCTCAATTGAATGGAAGAAATTGTATTTTACTTCCATGGATTTTCTGTTTAAATCTCTTCTTGCCTCTCTTTTTTCATATCCTTCTATACATTGTACCTTGTTTTTATTACTCAATTTTTATTTATTTAAATGGACAGTAATAAAAAAAAGACCAGGACACATTAGACCGTCTGTGTAAGAGGTGGCTATAAATAGTTAGATCCGAAATAAATGGAACGCTTTTATAGAGAAAACACATTTTTTTTCAAAGTGTGAAATTAAAAAGATCTTCATGAGTAATTACAGCATTTAAAAAAGCCCAACAATAATTAGTCCGCCACCTTACTACGCGCACGATAATGTGTGGAACACGCATAATTGGCTCATCAGGTGCACACAGACCATTTTTTGGTCTTTTTTGTGTTTGATTAATGCAGGAAATATACACTAAATGTTACAATGATGCCAAACCGAAGCACAAAAAGCCGAAACAATTATTTAGCTAATTGTCTTCTTTGGGAAGAAAACACATTCAAATATACCAACCGGTTCATAACCAGAATCATTCAAACTAAACTACATTTATAAGACCTCCATCCAGGCACCAGATGTTGCTTATTCTACCAATTCAAGCCATATTAAGATATACAATGTTATTTTAACTATATTAACGCTTTCTTCATGTTACACACGAGTACATTTATATATCAGTCTTTAAATTATAATATGAGTTTATATTTCTTTAATATTGGGAATCCATAGCTTTGTTTATTGCTTCTGGTAACTTGGCATTGTGATTGTTGTATTTTCTCTCCAGCACCTGCTCTCATTAATGTAACGCGAAATAACAAAAATTTAAACCCACATTAGAAATTTAAACCCACATTAGAAATCTGTTCTCGACGCGACGAAACATTAAACACGAATGCACCACCTTTGTTGGGCTTAAATATTGGTGACGAAAGTTTGCTTTCGCGAAAGTATGCGCATATTTTGTCACTGAGGTTCTAAAAACAGCAGCCGCACATCATGCTTAATTGTTTAAACAAATAATTAAGTAACACCTAATTTTGCATTTTAAAAGGAAGAACGCTTCATTGCATTTTTTTTATATCCCCTGTGTATGTATTAAAAATACAAATGGCTATTTGCGGACAAGTGAAGCAATCATTTCCATGTTTCTGAGAATACATTTTTATCATCATAAATTAATGGAGCCCTGGCATCCATCGTAATCACATTGCATCTCCATTTTTAAAGGAAACACAATTACGTCATTACATTGCACACACACACTCAAACACATATCATGATTGTGCCTAGCACTGTCCTGAGCAAGAGCAGCATTCCGAACTGGAAAAGGCTAAATATATGTTTTACACGGTCAAATGCTGCAGAAAATAGAGAATACATGTATTTTTTTATTCAGGTAAATTAGTTGACACAGCCCCACAATTTTGGCAATGTGGCAATGTCTGTGGCTGTCACATTGAGATGAGTGCAACAGTCATCATCTGCATGCCGTCGCCGACAATGTGTTCCCCATTCGTATTTCCTATTGCACTTGCACAATAGCTACGATTGCTACTGCATCCAGCCACCGGCTTTATATTTTGAACATTGTAACATATGTTAGGAAAGTGATTGCTAAAATGTTTTTTGTTGTTGTGACAATTTATTTTCCACTATGTTGGATTGTTACGTTTAAAATTAATAACCAGAGAGGTGGCTCAGCGGGAGAGCAAGCAACTCCCCGTCGGAAAGTTCTGAGTTCAAATCCTGGTTGGAGGTTGGCTCACTCCATTATCCTTCCCGGTTTGATTGTTAAGTCTTAAAGTTAAATGTGCCTGTGTATGTATGTGTGTATAGGTATGTGTAAGTGTTGTGGGAAGTGGATATCGAGTGGCCAGCACGTTTCACTACAAACCCGGTGACCTGTAACGTCCTTACCTGCCCCTTCTGGACATCTGTGAAAAAGAGCTTCATAGCTCATCGGATTCCTCCAGTATGATTCAATATTCTGATTCTGAATTCCACGCGGTGGCTCAGATCAGTGGCAATTATCTGAACCGGCCCTTGTCTCCCCTATGTTGCCTCAACCTTAATTTAGTACCTGGTGCAGTGCACCAGTCGACATTGGGAGACAGCTTGGTGTGATGCTGGCCACAACACTCTGATGAGCTTTGCTGGCCTTAGCAGGTACTTTCTAGCAGAACATGCCCGGACAATTTATCATGCGAAATAAAGGAACTTTGTCCTTGCATTTAAGCGATATATGTACTTTATGTTAGCGAGCACCTATGAAGGCCGGCACGGCATATGAAGGGGTGTGGGTGGCCAGCACCACGCCCGGCCGCCTTTGTCTCCCGAGTGGATATGTTTATACACCGTGCCAAGTACTCATTTGAGGGGAGGCCCAGGACCGGTTCAGATAATTGTCACTGATGTTGGCCATGAGCTGGAATCGAACTCGAGACGCCGGGTTCGTAGCGCAGTGTACAGCGCTAACCGCTACACCACCGCTCCCCACGCACACACAAACACACATATATACACACACATACGATGGTCTCCTGGAGTGTGGTGCGTGGTATTGCGAGGTGAAGACGAATGGGTAAGGGAGGCAGGAAGGTGGGACGATGTCAGATGGGATGGGGTGTGGTGGGGAATCGAGTCACGGACCTGCCCTTGGGCATAACAGTCGAGGAGAGATGTTTCGTATATTCACGAGCGGTTTTCTGCTCAAATGAGCATGGAGGCAATGCTCTTTTCCCATTCACAGCCCTAAGCCGATGGAGAAAAGTCCACATTCACCATGGGTGGGGGTGGGGTGGGCATGTCCTTTCATAGAACAACCGCTGTAGACTTCCCCACGAATGTGGAACTCATTTTATTGATCCCAAGAGATGATGGGCTGAGTCAACTCCCCCCCCCCCCCAAATCAGGATTAGAACTCGCAAACTTGAAAATATCGAGCCACTCGCTCTCCCACTGAGCCACCGAGCTGGTTATTAATAGTTCTGTACACATTTCATTATGAGGAATACGTTCTCAATAATGAAGAATAATTAATTCTGTTGCCGTTAAGTAAATGTTTATCTTTTTCAAAGGTTGCGTCAGCTTTTTGAAGTGACACTGCAATGCAATGCCTGGTAATGAAAGGTGCTGTCAGATAAGTTTTGTATTTTTCTGTTGAAGGCCTTATTTACTTAATTTAGTGGCTCAGTCGCCCAGCAATTTTTTTTCCCCCAAAAACATTTCTCTCTGAGACACCTACTGATCCTTGGGCTCTCCTGTTTGTTTGTTAATGGGGAGAAAACCCCATCCACAAACGAGTGATGAAAAAGAAAGTGAAACTAGCCTCAGACGTGACTTTATCGGAACTGACAGAAGGCGCCTGCATTGTGATAACAACCTGAAGGGAGATGGAGGCCTAAGGGCCTCCAGTCCACGATGTCTGGGACATCTCCGCCGCAAATCCTCTGGCCTCCGAACGTCATTTGCTTGGCGGAGAGACAGACTAAAGTGCTTATACATCCAGCTCGTTTTCGCTGCGTGCGCTACCATGTGCTTCTTAATCGGCTCATGGCAGACTTAGGGGAGAGGGCGTAATTATTGCATTGCACTTTTGCTCAGGGCCTCTACTGCCCGTGTTGCGGCGAACGAGACGAGAAATGCAAGCGCCTGCCTCGCGTCTAGCCGAGTTGTATGCAGCCTTCGGAACGACGCGGACAATTTGTCAAGGTGATACTGATGTCTACACAAGCCTCCGCAGCTCGGGGAAAATTTTTTTTTTATTCTAAATGTTTTACCGGGCATGGCGAGAGACGTTACAGTTGACTGTTTTGACACGATGGCTGTACAGAAATGACCACGGTATTGGAGGGGCTGGAACAATGCTCTGCGCTTAGAAATTGTAAATGTGTGTACTTTTTGTGGTATTAATACGTACATTTTTGCAAAATTTCCTGTGAAAATCAACGTAACGCAAGGAAGCAGAGGAAACATTTGAAAGTCACTCGTCATCTAGCATGGAGAGCTTTGGTGTACCATGTCCTTAAAGGGCTGTTGAATTCCTACACTGAACATGCTTCAATACACCTCTGCAGGACACGCCGCCTTGTGCGAACATGGGGCCACACACGACTTAGCCAGATTTATTTCCTTTGCAGTTAACCATTGCAGAATTCTGCATAATGTAAATACAAGGCATTTCTCTAAGTGGACCACACTGTGGGTACAGCATTCCACAAAGCATTCACTTTCATGTGGCACAAGCTTACCATCCTGGCCATTACTAACCATGTACCATTGCAAAAATGTCAAACACCTCCACTAATATGGCATTTAAAAATCACACCTTCACTGATTTGCAGAATCTGTCTGTGCTTTCAGTTGGTACAGTGAAACAATTATATTGTCACAAAAATTAACTGAACTTCAAGTTTTCAAACGTTCTCTGCATTCCCCAATCTGGAACTCCGGGGTATCTAATTTTCGACGACTTGGATAGCTCTGATCAACATGACCCTTCAAATAATATAGTGCCTGACTAAATTAAATTGTGCGAGACAGTAAATCTGGCGGTGTCTCACACCTACGATTTGTGGAATATGGCATGTTTTATAGGGGTGTTTCAACTGTACATTATTTTTTCACGAGATTTATTTTTTTACCGATATTAAACACAAAATAAATTGCACCACACCCTCAATGAACGTGAACAGCTGTGTGTCGTTGGTTTAACGACTGTCAAAACACCACAGTTTTTCCACACCACTGAACATTCCGGCACGGGGGTGTATGCTACAGTGTAGATAAACAAAACAAATGAATAAATTGTCGTAATTGACTATCTGATTTAATAATTTTCCTGCGATTTCCCATTTGTTCTCATTTGTCATGCCAGGAAATTGGCCACATAATTTTCAACCTCATGCTACCCGTCAAGCTATGGCCGAGCCATCGATTTTATGATTTGATTAATTCTTTCGAGTCCTCGTACGTACGTAAACAATCCCTCAGGTCTAATGGTCTTGCCCTGTCAAAATAACACAGGTCAAGTAACAAACTGTGCCGTCTCTGTCTCCGCCCTAGGATGACGACGGTGGCGGTGGTGTATCTGAAAACGATTAAACATGGGGAACGTAAAGTGTAAGAAACCCTCCGTCATTTTAGGATCATCAAATAAAGGAGGATGCTGCCTAGGTCTAACGGTTAGCATGCTGTGCTTGCAATACAAAGCTTGCAATACAAAGCTTGCCTGTTTGATCTACTGACGTGGCATTTAAACTGCGAAGCAACGGTCGAGATTCTTCAATCTCCTTGTCTCTGTTGGCCCAATTCCTACGCCACAGTGAGCCCATCGGTAGTTGCACGTCGTGGGATGAAGTGTGGGTTACCTCTACATCTTTAGAGACATATGGCCAGTATGGAAGAGTAGGCCGAGCTCTGTATGGTTTCCTCTAGCGGTGAGGCCCTTCTCCCAGCAGTGACATGACCAAGCATTTGCAGGGCTGCGCCGTTATTACCGACTTTTTTTTAACAAACAGAGGACATGCGGCGTGGCAAAACTTAATTCGTTACTTGAGGCGAGACTCATCAATTTCATGCCAAAAGCATATTTTAAATATAGAGGCTAACAGTGTAATAATGCTGCTTTACTAGGAAGCCAATTATGGGAAACTGTCGGAATTCTTAATGGTGGTGGATTGGGTGGTGTGATTCATTTCAGGGTATTAATAGTCATTGGGAGCCACATTGATTTAATTGTGCATGACGATTTCACTGGCTTCCCGAAAGACGTAAAAAAAAACACAACGTTGGAAACTTATCAGAGCACGTCTTTTTTTCTTTGGCCAGCACCGTCCGTTGCAACATGAACACGAGATCCAATCTGCATCCCAAGCAAAAACCTTCACCTCTCTCGCCACTCCGTCCTGATTCATCTTTCTCTTCCGCAACCACTCTCTTCGATCACTTTGCCTTGGCGATGCTCGTGGAGGTGGGGCGGGAGCAGCAAAAGTTCGAGGAGGCCACGTGTGTCCGCCAAGACGGCCGCCCCAGGCAGAAAGGCGGAACAGCTCTCGTCGCACCCGGGAAGAGGACATAATCCCAGTCCTACGCAAGAGGTGAGACGAGGAGGAACTACTGCACGACGTAGTAATCACAAGAAGGCTGGAGGAAGTGTGCAGGTATGGTGCCACCTGGAAAGTATAGCGAGAGGAGTGAGTGCTCACAAAAATAGTTTCTATATTCAGTAATAGACACAGGGCACTCCGGAGTTAATGTGCCACACATTGGGCTTTGAACGTTACTGTGGTGGGTCCAGTTACCGAGAGTGGGGGCCGCGTGTCGCCTGTGCAGCAGCTGGGGGGTCTGGCAGAGGGTAGAAAGCCTTCGTGAGGTGTGGTGGCATCAGCAGCTTTGGCCATGATGGCATCTTGATCATTTACTGTTTTATACAGTGCTTCTATGACGTAATCCCAAGTTTCCACATGTGTTCATGCTTGAATATGTCACGTGAGCAATTCGCTGCCACGTTGAAAGGGGATGTACCTAAAGCCAAGCTCCTCTGTATCAAAGTCAGTACCTGACGTTTTACCCTAATTAGTGGCAGACCCAGTTCAACATTTTAGAATAAAACAATGCTTTTCTACCAAGCGTGTGCCTGTGCATGTGTGTCTATAGGCATGCACATATACACACCATATAATACAGTACATATTTAGTGAGTCATTCAGAGACACTATTTAGAGGCAACAACGTTTATTCTACACTTTACGCAACACCGTTACACACGGGACTAAATATACCTATTATCAATCTAGATTTGAAGTTTCCGTGACTGCAGGGATCCATACTCTTTGTTTTTTTTCGGTAAAGTCACGTAGGTATAAAATGAAATAAATTAAATCACGACGTTTCTGGCGCAACACAAGCGTCCATCATCAGGTGGGACAACCACAGCAAGAAACAATTGCTGAAGTGGGCAAAAGGGCTGCCGTGACAAGAGGCTATGTAGGTAAGAGAGGGGGGAGGAGCAAGGGGGGCGAGATAGAGAGGGTGGGGGGGAAGGGAGTGCTGCGAGAACGTTTAGATGATGAGCAGACAAAAGAGGGATTCAAGTGCGAGCACGGCAACATGCCGGGGATGGGGGGGGGGGTAAGTGAGCGGGGCTCGGAGTGGGAGGCTGAAGAAGCTGGAGATGCGGAAATGAAGGCAACACTATAAAGCAGTTAAGGTTTTACCTGGTAAATAACATCCTTCCAATGATGGCTCAATTCGTATCCATCTTCTCGGATGAAGTTATATCTATGTTTATATATCTAGATGGATTCATGAACACACCTTTGATAGTAGCCCGAAGGTTTGCAGAGTACCTTGGTCTCGGAAAAAAACAATATCATGAGAGCCCACAGCGTTATAGCAATGGTCAGCCACGGCGGAGGTATTGGTTCTACCATGTTTCAGATTTGACTTGTGCTCGCAAACACGGTCCGAGATATGTCGTTTCATTTCCCCAATGTAACACCCACCACAGGTGCAACTTAGTTTATAGACTCCAGGATAATGCATGTCAGGAATGACATCCTTCAACGATGGGATTAGATCAAGAATTTTGTGTACTGTACTGAATCTGACCTGGACCTTGTGTTTGTTTAAGTGAACTGGAACACGTACACAAGGCCCTCAAGATGAATGGGTACTCGGACCGCATTATTCGCAAAGCTGTTTCTCCAACCATGGAGAACAACCCCCTGAGACGCGATCAAAACCATCACGTTACCATACATAGCAGGCATTACCAAAAAGATTTCCAAAATCTTAAGAAACACAATATCCAGGTCTGATTAAGTACAATACACCTATTTCTCTTGCATCGGGACAATTATAATCGGGTCAGAGCAGCCACGTGCTGCCTGACCCACGATGTCGAAGATGGGGACGAAGATGTAGCCGTAGCACTTGGGTTCCACTTCACCTGCAGACAGCCCGGATCTGTGATCGGGGCTTCCCTTTTATCTCTCTCGGCGTGGCCTGGCTCCACCCTCGGCCACACCCTACGTCGAAAATATTCCTGACGGTTCCAGGCTGCACTACACCTGTTCCCTCTCTGGCTCCGCCCTTAACCACGCCTCTTTCGGGAACTCTCGAGACGTTCTCAGCTACTCCCCCCCGTGCCCCCTCGTGCACCTTTGGCCCAATTTACTCACCCCGGCCCATCACGTGTTAACCGGTGCCAGGTGGACTCATCCTCACATGGCCCCTACCACCGCACTCTTCCAGTGGCCCCTCTGTGGTGATTCCCTGAGGCGCTGGTGGAGGCTGCAATCCCCTACTCTGCCGCTAGGACTCATCAGACTTGCTTCTGCTAGCACCCAGTACCATGCCCCTAGTGGCCCACTGAATAGTACTGCATGGTGTGTTAGCCTCTGCACCTGTTTCAACGGCACTTGGCGCTATGCACCGTTAGTACCGTATTTTCCCGCAATATAGCCTGCATACGCATATAACCCGCAGACGCATATACAAAAATAGCGTTTTGTGGAAAACAAATTTCAGATAGCCCGCACCTCCATATACCCCGCATGCATTCATATATTTAACGTCGTTACCACAGCTTAATTCCATCATATTAATCCGAAGTTTACATTTGTCATAGGCAGCATTCCTCCTCCTCCAAACACGGCGAGTTGAGTTAATGCCAAAGAGCTCCATTTTGGTCTCATCTGACCACAACACTTCTCACCCAGTTGTCCTCTGAATCATTCAGATGTTCATTGGCAAACTTCAGATGGGCATGCATATGTGCTTTCTTGAGCAGGGGGACCTTGCGGGCTCTACAGGATTTCAGTCCTTCACGGCGTAGTGTGTTACAATTGTTTTCTTGGTGACTATAGTCCCAGCCTGCCTTGAGATCATTGACAAGATCCTCCCGTGTAGTTCTGGGCTGATTCTTCACCGTTCTCATGATCATTGCAACTCCACGAGGTGAGATCTTGCATGGAGCCCCAGGCCGAGGGAGATTGACAGTTCTTTGTGTTTCCTTCCATTTGCGAATAATCGCACCAACTGTTGTCACCTTCTCACCAAGCTGCTTGGTAATGGTCTTGTAGCCCATTCCAGCCTTGTGTAGGTCTACAATCTTGTCCCTGACATCCTTAGAGAGCTCTTTGGTCTTGGCCATGGTGGAGAGTTTGGAATCTGATTGATTGATTGCTTCTGTGGACAGGTGTCTTTTATACAGGTAACAAGCTGAGATGAGGAGCACTCCCTTTAAGAGTGTGCCTCCTAAACTCAGCTCGTTACCTGTATAAAAGACACCTGGGAGCCAGAAATCTTTCTGATTGAGAGGGGGTCAAATACTTATTTCCCTCATTAAAATGCAAATCAATTTATAACATTTTTTGACATGCGTTTTTTCTGGATTTTGTTGTTGTTATTCTGTCTCTCACTGTTCAAATAAACCTACCATTAAAATTATAGACTGATCATTTCTTGTCAGTGGGCAAACATATAAAATCAACAGGGGATCAAATACTTTTTTCTCCAGGACCTGGAGAAAAAATCATACGTCCACGGGGAGCGGGAGAGAGACATGCAAACTCCAAATATAAAGGGGTCAGGGTCTCGGCAGTTGAGGCAGTTGAAGGGCAGATACAAATATAAAGGGGTCAGGGTCTCGGCAGTTGAGGCAGTTGAAGGGCAAGTGGTGGAAATGGAGGTAAGAGTTCAGTTTATGCCTGGAGAAGGAGAGAGAGTGGATGGGTTGTTAGAGCTCTAAATGCAGTTGTACACAAAAAAATACGTGCCACAATAAAAGTAGACACGGAAACGATTATTCCAAGTGCGGAATAGTATATTTAATAAACTTGATTTAAAAAAAGAATTATCATCTGGGTTTAAAAGGACAATATCGAGGGGGCAGGCGGGGGGGCTATTTTATTCCTCCTGAGTGCACTGGTTCTAACTCACAGCAAAGCCAGATAAAACACATTTTAACTTTAAAACTCTGCTTGATTAAAGGCAATGGCAATCCTATAACACTATGTAACAACATTTTTGTTCCTGGGTAGTAAGTGTAATTTTCTAATTGCTTATGCCTCAAAAGTACAGAAAATGGCTATTATTCTCCACAAACTTTGGTTTTGTGACCAGGACAGTGATATTTAGAAATTTATCTATTTTCAATGAGAAAACGGGCAAATTTGTGTCTGTTCTTTCACGTAAAGTCAGAAAAAAACAACATATGACTCAAAATTAACATGTATTTATACTAAAATAATACAAAAATTACTACAAAAGATTTAGAAGGGAGTAGTTTTTCGAGATTTACGATTATACTGAAAATCACTTTCACGAATCAGCCCCCAAATGTAGTCTCCCATCATGTTCTCATTATACAGTACTCTCCTTGGTAGCGGCGTTCAAAGTCAAGTATATCCTGGTGGAAGTGCTCGCCTGGCTCCTCTGAGTACGCTGCCATGTTCTCCTTGAATTTATCAAGGTGAGCATCAAGGAAATGGACTTTGAAGGACAATTAAAAAAATTGTAGCAAATTTTATAACATACAATTCCAAGCAACAACTGTCCATCTGACCTTCCAGAGTTTTTGTTGCTTTGTTCGCAGGTGAAATGAGGTGCCCAGGGTTTGTCTTGATCCCTGACAGGCATACCGAAATATGCCTTGTAGGCCTCACACATCTTAGCGGATGCTTCCACACAGTACTTTTCACTCTTGTCTTGATAAATTTGCGCAGACATAGCAAAATGCATCTGCCGGATGCTTGCAGCCTCTTGATGCCATCTTAGAAAAATACAGATATGTATCCACTTCGGCAGCTGGAACTAAACTGAACAGGTGGGCTTAAGCCCCCTGTATTTATACTACTATTTATATTACTGTAAAGTTGTAGAATGTTCTCGAGGTTACTCCAAGTTTACTCAGCACTGAATCTATCTGGAATGTTCTGGAAAATAGGTAAATTTCAAAATATCATTGTGCTGGTCACAAACGCAAAGTTTTTAGAGAATAATGGCCATTTTTCTGTACTTTTGAGGCATAAGCAATTAGGAAATAACACTTACTACCCAGGAACAAAAATAAATAAAAAATTGTTACACAGTG